GTGGGGTCTTTCATATCAGGAGCCGAGGCCAATATCACAGTCAGATTTGGAGAGAGTAATAACCTCAACCACCAAGACAAATGTGGCTGCTACTGAATACAGCAGATCAAACTCAGGTTGGCTGAAGCAAAGGGACTCGGATGATTACCAAGTCCAGGCCGCTATTGGCGAACTTTCTAAACTTGTTGTCTCGCAAATTCTGAACCTTCAGTCTGGACCTCAAGATCCTTAATTTCCGTAATTAGCTTATTTTGTCTTGCGGCTTACACTATACTAGGCTGTGGATGGTTTGCGGATAATGAAGCATGATGGAGTAGTTTTGACTATACTAGGCTGTGGATGGTTTGCGGATAATGAAGCATGATGGAGTAGTTTTGTGTGTCAGTAATGTTAAGGAGCCAACTGTTGGCTCCGTAACGGAGCCAACAGTTGGTTCCTCAGCATTATTGGAAATGATATTGGGACATGATATTAGATTGTTGTCTCTTACACATGTCAGTGACTCTTTCTAAATAATTGCACATATACTATAATCTTGATTTTTATTTGTAATTATACAAAACCTTAACTTTATTCTTAATTAGAGGTCTAAATACATAACTTTTTCCAAAAAAAAAAAAGGTTACATAAAAATGAACTGCATCAACATAATCCCATTTATACAGTACTTCCAAGAATCATTTATTTAATTAAAAAAAAAATATGTGGCAAAAAAAAAGGGTTGTGGAAAAAGATAAAACGGCAGGATTCTGAGAATTCTCAGAATCCGTTTTTCATTAATTCCGATAGAAAAACGGATTTTCAGAATCCGTATTTCCTTAATCACGTGATTATCCGTAATTAATTCAACTAAAAACGTGTTATGAAAATCCGTGTTAAGTAACACGGATTGTGAAAATCCGTTTTAACCAAGAACACGGATTCTGAGAATCTGTGTTTATTTATTTATTTTTTTGTTATAAAAACGGATTCTAAGAATCTGTTTTTATGTATTTATTTATTTATTTTTTTTTTATTTTTTTTAAGTTAGGCTCGACTCTTGGATGCTCACGAACTCGTTTTCAACACAACCAAAAAACAAACAACGTTCGAATACAATATGGGGAACGCCCGACTCACCCACTAAAATGATAAAAATGAGAGAACACGCTTAAAGCGGTCTAGACTACTAGCAACTACGAAACTAAGGCAAGGTACACCGAAACCCTTAGTCCCTAACCAACCCATAAACTGATAAAACAAGGCCACTGTCCATAGAAGCTAGCTAACCTGACCTGCTCACTAAAACCAAAAACATAAACTGAAATAAAAAGAAATAAAAAGAAACAAAAACACCCCTGCTAACCGAAACGCACATGCTAACCAAAATGAAAATACATTAGACTCCTATCAAAACCAACCACACCTGCTAACAGAAACACAAAAAAACCACAGCCGTAATCACTCAAATAATACCCCAAAGAAACTAAGAAAAAAACAACAAAAAACAGAAAAGATTAACCGGTAGCTCTGGAAAATTCTTCTCATTCTCTAATTGCCAGTCTAATAGCAACTTGTTCTGGTACTCTTTCTTATCCTTCAATATGAAGGCGTTTTATAAATTTTGATTTAACATTTTGAACATGAAATAAATATCACGTGATTACTCAAATTATGGATCCAGCATGCATACACACATGAAACACTATACGAAAAGACAACCACAGTTACCGACAAAAAAACAAGTGAACCACAAAATATGTACTCAAAACCATCAAGAATAAATATCTGAAAATCCCGTACAACAAATAAAAGAAAAAAAGAAAATGTCCACAAATTCACAGAATACAAAACAAACTAGCTAGCAGTAAATGTTTTTTTAGGCTGGCATTTTCGGGATCCTCTCCAAGGCCCCGATACCAAAGAAGACGATCCTACGGTCAGTCCAGGCGTTGCTGGTTCTTCTTCTTCTTCACCTAATTAATTATTTTTTATAAAAAAATCAGTAATTCGACTGGATAAATAAATAAAAACAAACCAAAATAAAATATATATTTGTAGTTCAATAAAAAAATCTCACCTTCTTCGTCTTCTTCATTCCCTGGGAATGCAGCGGCGGGTTCGCGGTCACGACGTCTTCTCCCTCCACCAATGTGGGGCGCCGGTCTATGCCTCGCCCGCTGGGACTGTGTCTGCTGGGGTGGGGCGTATTCCTCTTGAGATAGAATTTGCTCCGACGACGCCCCTTGTGTGACCGACTGACCCCCAACAGTCAGAGAAGCGTACAGAAGTTCTTGGGCTTGCTGGAACCGTGTCGGCGCTCGGGGAGGTAGCGTATCAATATCTTCAATGTTCGATAGCATGTTGCTCTGTACCCGAATTCTGAAAATAAAATTCAAATAACTATTAAATATTCAAAATAATAATAATAATAATAACTTCAATAGTAATAATATTAATAATAATAAAAATCACAAATTAGCAGACACTTACCTGACAATTCTCCCGGTCGACATATGGCTGAAACCCGCCGTCCTGTGAGATCGCCGTGTAGTTGTTAGGGTCATTGAATAGCCTCACAGTCCTACTGTGATACCAATTAATGTACCCCTCTGTCGGCTGCAGGAAGGGATCCACCGGGACATCTGGGAGGACGTTCTGATCTCTCTCTTCGGTCCAGATCCTCCCAAGATCAGCATGGAAGGCCCGCCAATCGGTATATGCCCTCCCAGTCATGCCCTAGCCTTTGTGTCGGGTGTCCCAGTTAGCCAGACTAATAATGATCGGCGTCTAGGGGATGGGCTGGTGGCACCGAAACTGGCGGAGCACCCTATCAGGCTGGTGGGGTTCTGCGATGTTGCAGCAGAAGATCCACCCGTTGTACATCCAGATATGTCGGTCTCGTGTACGCTGGTCCGAGAGCCGACCCTCGTCTATGTACGTCTGATAGGGTACCCAATCAAACTGTAAAAAAAACATTTATAGAATTATTAATGAATTTAATTAAAAAAAAGAATTAAAAAAAATAATAATTATTTATTATTATGACCTAAGAAACTTACATCAGTCTCTCTCAGGCCACTCAGCTGATCTCGGATGGTAGCCATGCCCGTCCTCAGGTGCCTCATGTCCCTCGATCCTACCCACCTTAAAAATCACAGAAAAAAATATTTGTAATTACAAAATTGGATAATTGAAAAAACTTAAGTGTTAAATATAAATAAAGATTATTATTACCTTGCACCCAAGGGACAACTAGCCTGAGAGCCGAAATGCGTTTTTCTCATGAATGGGCGAATACGAGGGATGCGTTCCCATGCCCAAACCTGCACATATGGACATATACACTTTTTAGCACATATTATTGTAATTTATAATAAATAAAATTAATTTGCAATTAACAAGTAAATAAATTTACCTGAATCAACTGCACGCAGCTCTTGATATATTTTTCGTCCCTCTCGTAGGCGTCATAGAGCGCTCTATATAACCCGGCCAGAAGCGCTCCACCCCAGCTGTACCCCGGAATGACATCAATGACATTCAACAGGGACAACCAGTAGAGGTTGACTATGTTGCCCCGATGGTCGGGGAAGAAGAAGGACCCAATACACCAGAGTATCAGGGTTCTCGCCCTCCTCTCGTACTCTGATGTAGGGAGTTCATCATCCAGAGGTCGTTTGCACTCCTCTTCTAGACTACTGAAATACAGGTACTGGCCTGAAATGTCCCAAGTCTTGGGGCCGTAGTCCTGGTCCCCGAGATCCTTGAAATACGTTTATATATATATATATATAATATATATTAAAAACGACCCATGACTTAAGTATACATAAACACAATAATAAAAAAAAAAAAATAAGCAAATAAAAGTTTTAGGTAAAAATATACATGTACATATGGGAGGTACCTTAGAGCGTCCACGCAATAGGCTCTCCACTCTTGGGGAGTCCGCTGTACGGTCTGTCCCCAGCACGCTTCCTCGTTGACGGGGAGGCCAAAGAGTATCTGAACGTCCTGGAGAGTGTTCGTGGCCTCCCCGAAGTCGAAGTGGAAGGTGTGCGTCTCCGGACGCCACCTCTCCAGCAGACATGTAATGAGGGAATTGTTTGTCGGGACCACCCCGGGTTGGGAGAGTCACAAGCCGCCTCGTCTACCATTATGCCGGATCAGGCGTTTCCATTCTCTATTCGCAAAAAAATTGTTTTATTCGCAAAAATATTATATACTATATATACGTTATATACTATATGTTATATACTATATGTTATATAATATTTTTTATATACTATATGTTATATACTATATACTATATGTTATATACTATATGTTATATAATATTTGTTATATATTATATACTATATGTTATGTAGTAAATAATTTGACTTCGATTACACCAATTGACCGAGATTGTATTAATTTGACTTCAATTGGACTAATTCGAGTTCGATTACAGTATAATTGACGAGATTGTACTAATTTGACTTCAATTAGACTAATTCGAGTTCAATTACATTATAATTGACCGAGATTGTACTAATTTGACTTCAATTGGACTAATTCGAGTTCGATTACACTATAATTGACCGAGATTGTACTAATTTGACTTTAATTGTACTAATTTGGCTTCAATTGGACTAATTCGAGTTCGATCACACATTATATAAATCATCTAAATACAAAATATTCAATCTCAACAATCCAATTCAGTCAAAATACATACAAAAAAATCTAGTTCCCCCAATCATCACGGAGTCTAGTTCGATCGGTGGGAGGATGCGAATACAGGCAATGGTCCGCGAAATGTTCGGGATCACCACATCTAGTGCATTGATCCCGGACTCTTCTGCGGCGCGCCCGACGATCCATTTGCATTTTAAAGCGTCTCGTTTGGGCGCGACCGGGTCCAGGCTTCGAGATGATCCTCTGCCAGTGCGGAATCAAATTCCATCCCACCCGCGGCCACTTGTCAGGATTTCCAATTGGAGCAAAATTCTAATTAGAAAATTGAGCAACCCAGTTCTCCGTCCAAAAGTGGGAATCGTACAACAAGTTCGGTTGATCACCCCGGTGACGACACACGGCCAATGCATGAGAGCATGGTTTCCGATGTGTCTGCCATTTCTTACATGCACAACGATGCTGCTGATAATCAACCTTAAACCTGTTTTCCACAATGATTTAATATATATATAAAACTCATTTGAATGAAAAAAAAAAAGATACAATTAAAAAATACATACTTATTTTGCCCTCTTCCATTGGCGCGTAGACCGGTTGTCACCATGTACTGGGATCCGTCGGCGTCCACACATCTCACCTCGTGAGTCACCGCTGTCCTCTCCAACACCCGATAGGCGGCATAGAGGTCCGTAGGAATGGGACTCCTGCATCCTCTAGACTTGTTTTGTTCCTGTTCAAACAAATTCAGAGTCTTGTTCATTGTGGCCTGTACCAACGCTCTGTAGGGCAGGAACCTAACACCTTTGAGGACGTTGTTGTAATTCTCTGACATATTGGTTGTCAGAGTGCCGCATCGACGTCCTCTATCTCTGTACAGGGTCCACTTTTCCAAAGGAATTTTGAAAAGGTAATCGTATGCGTCCGGGTTACATTCATGGAGTTTCTGTTGACTCTGCTCAAATTTGTGGCGAGAACACAGTGAACCCAACCTCCAGCACAAACCCCGGACTTTCTTATTCCAGTACCTTGAAAACACGTTGCTACGGAGGTGTCGAAGGCATATCCAATGAAATGCATGGGGTTCGTGCCAAGTCTCCAGTAAATCAACGGCACTCAATATGCCGTTGTCCCTGTCGGAAAGAAGACATATCGGTCTGTCGGGGACGACATGATGGCGCAAATGTGTTAGGAAAAAGGACCAGCTAGCCGTGCTTTCTTCGTCCACAATCGCATACGCGACTGGCAATAGACGTTTATTCTCGGTCTGTGCTATGTCAACAAGCAGCTTCCCACAGTTGGACATATGTTTTTTTTTTATCAGACACTATTGTAAATTAGAAAATAAAAAATTAATTTGCAATTAACAAGTAGCTTCCCCTTGTACGAACCTCGCAGGTGCATGCCGTCGATGCTAATAATCGGCGGACAACGAAGGAAGGTTTGAATGGCGGGGCCGAACGCCCAGAAGACAAATCTGAATTCTCTGTCTCGAGATTGCTTCGCCATTTCCCCACCCTCCCATTCCCACTCAACGACTGTATCGGGATTCGCCCTTTGAAGGGCGGCGAAAAACCTGCAAATTATAAAAAGTAACCATAAATAAATAAATAAATATAGTTACAAACAACACGTAAATACATTTATAATTAATTTTTGCTTACTGGGGGAGTTGTGCGAAGTTCGATTCCACGTGCCATACAGACGATCGATGGCTTTTTTTCTCCCGTGCCACGCCTTCTTGTAGATGACATCGACGCTCCAGGCACTTTTTACGTCGGCCTGGACCATTTCCACACTGTAGGTTACCTGCTTCTGAATCTTAGCCAACAAAAGATTTGAGATCATGGTGGCGGTCACATTCTTGTGGTCATTTCTCTCGAACACCTGCATGCAAGTGTGGCTATCGGTCCATTCGGTTACCTCCCACATGTCGTGATCCCATTTGTTAAGAGTCACCCGAGCCTTCCATATACATGGTACAACTTCAGCTGATCTGCACATAACTTTGAACGACTTCTTGTTGGAATCTTTTGTCCGGACCGCCCTAAGATTCTCAACATTCCAGGCCAGAAAACCAATCCAGGCATCTTCCTTGTTACGAAAAACTGTACCCAAACCGATAGTCTCCACATGCCCATTCCAGATTGGCAAGGCATACTCGTCCCTGTCTACACACGATGAGTCCCACTCACCCATCTTGCGATAATTGTGGAGGCCTTCATTTGGAAAGGGGTGTTTTTCAATGAATTCTTGTTCACTCTCCTCATTAATTGATCTGTCTGATTTTGTTTCCGAGGTCTCATCAGTGAAATCATCTTCACCGGGACTGAAATCTTCATCTCCAACAATTTCTTCCTCAATGTCCGGTCCTCTCATGGTAAAGCTCGTCCCTTCGCCGAAATTAATCGTCCCTTCACCAAAATTACCGGCATGCGTAGTCCACGTACCCTCACCACCAAACACTCCCCCGTAACCATATGATGGCGTAGGATCCTCAACCTGTGTAACCTATGTGTTTGCTTCCAACACTATATACAAAAACACATAGGACATAGGAGGAAAGAAGTAAATCCACGAAAGAGCACTATCATTATTCAGTCTTCCGGGAATAAACGAACCATCCGCTTGTCTGGCCATTAAAGTAATATCCGAAATTGTCCAAACTATCACGAAACCCACCATTTTCGTAAATCATATCTACCAATTGTTCATATGATATTTGTAACACCCCACTTTTATTTGCCGAAATTCCGGACTTTTAGAAAATCAGAATAAATTTTTCAAAATTTATTTCAAACATTTGTGGAGTTACTCATATTTTTCAATTGACATAACATCAGTTCATAACATCAATCATCTAACTCTCAGATCGATATCCATAAATTCATAAATCCATAAATCACAATTTCACCCCAAACGGGTTCCCAAGATAAAACTCAAGTTTTAAGACATGACAATGTCAACGGGGCATCTCCCCAATAGTATCTCGATACTTCATAAATTCTCAAGTTCGAAAATGCATAAATCGTAAATAGTCATAAAGATAGCGGAAGCAAAATCATTTAATAACCGGTCTCATAGACCGACTACCACTCGCTCTACTCTGCCGTCGTACCTGCCTCGCTTAACCTGAAACGTGAATTTCAGGTGGGGATGAGCACAGTTGGAAAAAGTAGTGCTCACCACTATGCAGTAAACATTATTCACAATAATGAAACAGTAATCGATAATCAATAAGGTATGGTCTCAGCATGTATACGAATCAATTAATTATCCCAATCTTCTATCAATCATATCAATAATAGACTCATGTGCACACCTATACCAATAGACTACTGCCGGTAGATGTATCGAAGGCCCTCGCTCGGGTCATGCTTCGAATGCCCCATGGGCTCTACATCTATGCCCTCCGGTCCTACACACCGAATCGCCCCACGGGCTTCCATCGATGCCCGGTCAGTAGGAGTAACCCGCCGGCCAAGGCCTCACCTTGGTCTTACCAACGGGGTTGTCCAGCACAGGGACCTTTAACCCAGGACTTACGGCTCACAATAATAAGGAGACTACCCAACGGGTACGTTCTATAGCTACGGGGATAACCGTTCGACGGCCGGTACAGCTCACATCGAAGGCTACATGTTCCACATGCATACTTGATCATACCAAAAATTTAAAAACAGTAATAACATTTACAGCATAGACAATTTTACATTAAACCCACCTGGTCCAGCATTGACAAATACGCAAAAGTTCAAGGTAGGTTCGAGAGCTCGACTCTTCGGGAACCTAGAATTATGAATTTTTATTATTAAGCATTTTGATTGGGTTGACTAGGCCACACCAAGAAATAAAACTCAAATTAACCTAACACTTAAAAGACACAAGAACAAGCTCATAAAAAAAAAACACATATTAGCAACACATTAACACATATAAAATTCAGCATATGAGACAATAATAATGCACGCAAAATCAACCAACATTTACGTGACATGACATAAACTTAACATTTTCTAGTTTACTGCTCACATTTTGAAAAATCAAGCATTTCATATATATATATACACAACAGGAAAGTTACAATTGGTCTCAAATATAACCATATAAATACATATAAATTATTTTATTTTATTTATTTATTTTTTTTTTAACAACTTAAGATCAACAAAAATAGGGCCCAACTAAATTGAAATATGTTTCAATATTCACACATACTCAGTCACAGAATGTACATCAAAGCACAAATATATTTTAGACAAATAAAAGTTTCAAAACAATACATAACATCAAGCCGTCATTTCTCTCTTACTTCCTAACACTTGAGCTAATCATAGGAGGTTTTTAAAACTGATAATAAGGCCTCATAAGAAAAAGTATATTTCAGCCAACTTCTCTAACAATGAGGTTCATTAAAATATAGGTCCAAGCACAACAGAAAATTACCATACATACATATGATATGCATATACTTGCTTCTAATTTCTTGTCTCTTTCTCCAGAATTCAATTAACACACCAAGGCTTTAAAAGTTGAGTGAAACACCCCTGAAATCACTTAATAACAGCTTGCTAACCATATAGCATAGGCTCAACAACATGGCAAAACACAAGGCACAAATTCACACCAAATATGCTTCTTTCTCTTCTAGTCGTAAGGCATGCCTTTAAATGAAAAAGGCTGAAACTTAGCACCTTTTCACTCACTTCAGCACATAAAATCAATCTAAATCGTCTCAGCACAAACTCAAACAAGCAAGGTAACAAAATCACCCAACATAGGCATAACTTTCACACCGGAAATAAAGCACATAACAACACTTATACTCGGCCAAAACAGAGGGTATAAATATAAGCCATTAATACCTTCATCGGGACTAACGAGAAACAGATGAAGGAGGGTTCGGTTCACAGGCTTCGGACAAGCTGCTATCACACACGCACGGCTCGGGACTGGGCTCGACTTTGCTTTTGCGAACAGGGCTGCTGCTACTCTCGCGCGGGGCCCGAAAGGGCTGCCGCTATTTTTGCACGGGGCCCGGAAGGGCTGCCGCTACTGTTCGGGCCCTAACCGAAGGCCGACGGGGGTGCCGCTTCTCGCTAATCTAACTCCCGACTGGAACGGAAAACAAACGGGCCTGCTGTCACGCGAATAACGGTTGGCGGGTAGCTGCCATTCTGACTCTTTCCTCCGGCGATGGCGAGGAGGACTGCTGCTGAACATGGATCGCCGGCGTGGGTTTGCTGCGTTGAAGTCGAACGGAGGCCCGCCAGAAAAGAAGACGAGCCTGCTCCGAGAACAAGTCAGTCGGACAGAGCTCGAGCCGTCGCTGACTGAAATTCGCCAGAAATGGGGTGTGCTCGCCAGGAATATGCTCTAATCGCCATCTGTTTGTTCTCAGTCGGGCCTCTCGGAATTTGCCGCCGCTGGATGGATTCTCCATCAGTCGCCTGAAGTCGGCCTCTCAGAAATTCGCTCTCGTCGTGGCTGCCTGGGGAGGGCTGACGAGGGGTCGGATGAACGGACGGAAGCTGCTGCTCATCACGGCGGGCCGCTGTTGCTGTTCGGAGATGGAGTCGCGCGGCTATGGTGGATTGACGGAAAGCTAAGATTGGCGATTGGAAGCTGGGATCTGCGTCTGCTCGCGAGTTTGCCGGCGAAGAAAGACACGAAGGCGTGCGGCGTCATTGGAGGAAATCGGCAGTCCTCGGCAACTTTCGGTCGGAGCTTGCCTTTGCCGAGAAGAGGGAGAGGTGATGGGAAATTTTTAAAGAAGAAGGAGATGAGGAGCGGCTGATGTCTCAATTCCTTAAATAGAGAGGAATTAGGGCTTGAAGGGGAGGGAGATGCGTGGGTGAGCTCGCCGGATTTCATGGTAGCAGTTGAGCTGCGACTGATTTACCGATTCTCGCGAGATACGATGCTCCGATGCTCGATGAGGGAGGTGGGCTGCTAGTTTGGGTAAGATGAAATGGATTGGACCGAAACAATTTTAATCAAAATCGGGCCAAATAAAATGACCAAGCAAGGACCAAGAGTGTACTAGGAGAAGGCAAAAATACTTAACTTATTGGGCCAGAAAATATTGGTAAAAAGGGCCGGGAACTATATCCAATTGGACATAAAAAATATAACTTCCATGATTCGGATAAAATGCCAAAGAAGCAGTTTCAAACAGATCGAAAACGGCTCGTAAATTAAATCGCACGATAAATACATAACCGGATATAATATATTACTTTACAATACATACAATTTAATTTTTAAAATATTAATAATATTAATAAAAATACGAATACACATTCTTAATTAAAAAGTAACACTTAGATAAATAGACAATTAAATAATATTTAGGAAATTAAGCAATTTGACAAATAAATCACATTCGACAATTCATAATTTTTAGCATTCAAACAATAATAACAACAAACAAAGATAACTAATAATAATAATAGATAATTTCCAAAAATTCAACAATCAAACGGGGCATTACAATATTATTCCATTAATAACAAATGAACAATCCGGGCGAGAATAATTCGAAAAATTCCATAACTCACTCTGAGAAATTTTCCAGTACACATTAACAAAGTAGGGACCGTTAGACGCCATTTATAATCTGTTGCACAAAAAAATTTTCTATTTTACAAATTACAACAACACATAATGGCTAATCAAACACCCGAGAAAATTTCAATTATCATTTTACCAATCTAAATTAAAAACTCATTTCCAACAACAACATATAATTAATCATACTTTTACTCCAACAAAAAAAAATTGTCAATTAATTTATCAAAAACACCACCAAAACCCTAATCACCATAATCCAACAATAACATCAAATTCATAAACAATTCAGATAAATATTCAACATACATTAAACCAACATTCAAGATTTTCTAAACAATACTCAATTAACCAAATATATCTCTTAAATATTCATAAACAACAAAAAAATAATATTACATTATATTAAAATAACAACTAACCTCTTCTTTGACGATNTTATTTTTATTTTTAAATTCGACCGTTTTCTTTTAAAAAAAAAATAAATTCAAAATAAAAACGGATTACGGAAATCCGTTTTTGTTTAAAAAAAATAAAAAATAGAAAACAGATTATGGAAATCCGTTTTTCTGATTAAATTTTTATTAGGAAAACGGATTTCCCCCGTTTGATTTGTCCACAACATTTTTTTTTGCCACATTTTTTTTTTTTTAAAAAATAACCCACCCGTACTTCCAAATACAATAAATTCAAATTTTAAAAACATTAACTGCTAGCTTTTCAAGTTAAGGAAAAAAAGAAAATTAATAGCAAAAAAATAAGAATAACATGAAACTGGTCTGAAAAGACACTCAACCGGTTAGAATTGGCTTGCTCACGTGTTTTCTCGCCGGTTGAACACCTTCAACCTGCAAAAACTCCCATACTGGAAGGGTTTTCTGGTGAAGAGCCTCCTATGCTTAAATGAGTGTGTAAAAGATGATTTGCAGAAAATATAAGGTACATAAAATGTAATGAGGTAAATTCACACGCCTCACCCCTATTTATAGGGATTAGGTACCTGCTTCTACAAAGCTGCCCAGATACGATGAGTTGGTTGCCCCAGCTACCCTGTAGTACAACTTCTCTATCAGAATGTGTCAGAGGCGGTTACGTAGACCAATGAGATGGTGCCACGTGGGGCTTAATTCCCTTGGATAGACTGCTTAATAATCTGACCAGCTCTAGGTCATTGAGGTGAAGCGCTGACTGCTCCAAGTCTGAGTGGCAGTCGATCGGGCGACCATTTACAACTACAGGTCGAGTTTCAACCAGGCCATCCGATGGCCATAGCTGAACTTGTCCTCACTGTACTGAACACCTTACCGTCTTCCAGATCGAGGACTCTTGATCCTATGGTGCTCAACCAAGCCACCCGTCTGATTATGCTCGACTGGGTAGCTCGTTCGGCCTACTCGACCGGTTTGCTCCTATAGG